AATCTGGGTTTGATTCTCCTTGGAACCGTTCTTAATTTAATTGTAACGCGTTTCGTTTTTAATTTTCTTAAACATTCAACCTAGTCTCCTGAGATTTTTTTTGATTATTATTCAATTAGAAGTCCCTAAAAATCACCCTCCTGCAATTTTATGCATTTACACATTTAAACGGGAGCAGTGCCGCGTTACAATATTGCATAAGGCCAGTAGTCTTTTATTTGTTTCTATCGACATTTTCTTGTTTCTTATTATTTTGCTTAACTTTTGGAAGGCATTTTTCGCTATCTTAATGATTTGATAAGGAGATGATTTCTTTTTAGTATCAATTTAGGGAGACGATATTGGCACCGTTGGGCAGTAGCTGAAAACCATATCAAGGGTTGATCAAAAACTTGTGAGTAAAATTGGGCATATGAAACAGTTTGGAAGCCGTCGGTGGTTTTGCTCGCACGAAGACACAAGTCATCGTGACCGAGTATTTGAGCATACTGGCATTTTTCAAACGGCTGATCAGGCCAGATTATGTGCCTTCTCGCCCAGGGACAGTAAGTAAGTTTCTTTTGGTGCAGGCCTCCAGTTATCTTGCGCGATAAATGTGGCGCCAAGTTTGGTCAAACTAGAGTCCTTTGGGGGTCAGACTTGTGTGAACTCTCCAAGGCGCAGCCCTGGGCGATGAGATATGGAGACTGTGCGTTGTCCAGACTACATGTACACCCTTCTCCCGGCCGTACCGACAAGATCTAAAGGAATAACCGACATTATATTTAGGGCCGGCTTGGAAAAAATACGAGTGGAATTTTTTTCTAATGAATTGAGATCAGATTAAAATTTTCCAGAACGTTCACCAATCGTGATGGACGGATGTCCCCTCAAAGAGTTCCCTTGACTTGTTCAATTATTGGAACTTACTCAAACCAGATTTTATTTTACAGTAAAGTTCACCCTTTACAAGACCCGGGGGCCACTCGAGGTAGGGGGTTACATCAGGAGGCAATTTGTGCGGATAGGACTGTAAGATAACGGTTAACCCTCGCCTTGAACAGGTTAAGATTCTAGTGTTCGGGAAAACATCCTCTTGGGAGTCGGTTCCACAGGGCAGTGTTTAGCGGGGAGAAGCTGTTTGAGTGAAACACTTCAAGTGGAACTCGTACTTACGATCCATCGCTAAAGTTGCTGAGAAAATGGTTGGTTCCTGGTACCACACTAGCAAGTATCTCACCCCACCAGCTAGCCTTTACTTTTCCAAGAGACAGATCAGGCTGAAAAGGGAGTATTGCCAAGAGTTTGCTGCCCCAATCATTACAATCTTAACCTGCTTTAAGTCTACATTATTCGGACTATTTTAAGATCCCGCCATAGAGGAGAACATGACTAAAGACTGTGTGTACACTATCCCGCGCAGCTGCGGAAAGAAATATAAAGGGGAGACAGGCCGCCCCCTCAAGGTAAGGATTCAAGAACACCAAAAAGCTGTAACACGAGGGGAAGTGGAAAAATCAGGCGTGGCTGACCACATATGGAGAGAAAAAGAGGATCACCGCCCTCTGTGGGATCAGGTTGAGATCATAGACAAAGAACACCATTGGAGAATTCGTAAACTTAAATAATCAGCACATATGCTGGGCTACAAAAATCTCCTGAGCCGACCAAGCATAGAAATGAATACAATATAGGAACCGGTAATAAGGAGTGCCAGAGAAAAGCAATAATAACGAAAATTGCAATATGAGCTCTGGTAAAAAAATGATTGCTGAAGACATTAGGTTTATAATACCCAGAAATTCATACACAGATGTCCTCAAGGACACATGGTACAATGGATAAAGGCGTTAGTTAGATCCAGTGACAGGACCTAAAGAGTGTGAGTTCAATACCCGGTTAAGGCAGTGGAGAACTTGGACAGGGGAATTAACAGAAGATAACAAGATGAGGACAATAGCCCGGATAATGTAAATATAAGAAATATAGACAGATACTAACCGTGATCTGTTATAAAATGCACATAACATGTGCCTTTTACTCACTTTCTACCTCGAGCGACCCTCGAACCTTATACAAGGTGGAGGTAATTGTAAAAAAAAAAGTTCAGACCTTCACAGATCGAACTCGTCATAGCGTCAACCCATTCTCATTCTATTCATATTTCATTTGTAAGGAGCAAGTTTCACACCACTCAGTCTTTTCTCTAGAAATAGTCTCCGATTTTAGCTGAAACACTTGGAAAATCAACCAACATATTCCAGTGAAATTTTCAATTCATAAAATTGTTTAAAAATTTAACCCTTGAAAATTTCACGGTTTTCATATTTTAAATTTATGTTGAATATTCTTAAGTTATTTATTGAATAAGCTAATGGCGAATTCCGTGACAATAAAATATCTGTAGAATTTCTCCTCTCGCATTTGAGCTTATCAACTTCAACAAAATATTGCAATAACAACCATAAATATGAATGCTTGTCATTATTTTAAGAAGTAAGGGGGTACAAATAAAAAGATTTAAAATAAGCATGCCACCTCTCAGAGAAGATTTCTAGTGGATATAGTCAACCTACGAGCAGGGAATTTTAATTCTTAAGTTGATTGAATAAGCTCAAGGCGAGTTCTACGCCAATAAAATATCCGTAGAAATTCGCATCGTTAAATATCTGAGCTTAATAACCTTAATAAAACTAGAAAGACTCGTAATATTTTCACAGTTTTCCTGTTTGATGTTTCTGATAAATCTTAGTTCTTATGTTAATAATTGAATAAGCTCATGGCGAGTTCTACGACTATAAAATATCCATAGAAATTTCTCTATCGCATCGTTAAATATTTAAACTTAAAAACTTCAACAAAATATTTCAATAACAATTATAAATATGAATACTGGTCATTATTTTAAGAAGTAAGAGGGTACAAATGGAAAGATTTGAAATTGACGACTTTTTCCATTTCACTAAACAACCGTTAAACACTTCTATCTTTCCATTTTTTTCTTTCATTCATTTTCTCATTGAAACCAGGTAGTGTCTTTTCCCCTCTTCCCACGAGACCAAAACAGAATAGTCCATTATTTATGAGATATTGGCATTAGACATTAAACATTTCTATCTTTGCTTCTTTCTTTCTTTCTTTCATTTTCTCACTGAAACCAAGTAGTGTCTTTTCCCCTCTTCCCACGAGACCAAAACAGAATAGTCCATTATTTATGAGATATTGGCATTAGACATTAAACATTTCTATCTTTCCTTCTTTCTTTCTTTCTTTTTTTCTTTCATTTTCTCACTGAAACCAAGTAGTGTCTTTTCCCCTCTTCCCACGAGACCAAAACAGAATAGTCCATTATTTATGAGATATTGGCATTAGACATTAAACATTTCTATCTTTCCTTCTTTTTTTCTTTCTTTCTTTCATTTTCTCACTGAAACCAAGTAGTGTCTTTTCTCCTCTTCCCACGAGATCAAAACAGAATAGACCATTATTTATGAGATATTGGCATTAGACATTAAACATTTCTATCTTTCCTTCTTTTTTTCTTTATTTCTTTCATTTTCTCATTGAAACCAGGTAGTGTCTTTTCCCCGTACTTCCACTCGGATTAGTCTATTGTTTATTAGGCATTTGCTGGGCGTAACGGTCGTGCGAACTAACCAAGAGCGGGCCAAGCACAATTATATATAATAGGATTACTATAGATAAATAGAGGTAAAAGTGAAGGCGTCAATTTAAACTGACACCAATATGATATGGGTTTTATTTATATATTTCTACAATCGTTGCGAAACTGTCAATGGGGAAGAAAATCTCACAAGAATTTATTTTTGGATTCTGGGAACATTCAACATTTTTGAGAGTCGAAAGATTTTTTTTATTTTTACTTTTATAGGGATGCTCAATCTTCGGAAAACCTGAAAACCTGAACGTACGGTTCCTCCAGCCCCACACCTAATATAAGCAAATGAAACCGTATGCTCCTGAAAAATTTATTTCGGTTGAGCTCTCTGGGGAGGAAGTGTGGGTTTGTAAACAGTGACTATTACTGCTAATAATACAAGACTCTTCGGTAAATCGAATCGAGTTCTCTCAGCCACTGTGTGTTTATCTGAAAAAAAAAACATGCTTAAATTCACCTTCATCCCTGCCGTGCGCCAACGGCTTAGTGGTAGAATCCCCGATGACGCCAATTCAGTCGGTTTCGATCCTACCTAGAGGTCACCGGACGTCTAGCCACACTGATGAGCTGTGATACATCTAAACAGCCTGTCTGTGGATGACTATATATATATATATATATATATATATATATATATATATATTAATTCATTCGAGTCTGATAGAAACCTCAACAGAATGCAGAAAGCACTGGACGGCTGTTTCGTCCTATATTTGGGACTCATCATCAGTGCGCATCCACTACCGAGAATTGAAACCCTGACAGTTAGGTTGTCAAGCGAACATCATGCCAACTGTTCCAAATGGGTCTCGATGAGTCCCAAATATAGGACGAAACGGCCGTCCAGCGCTTTCTGTTGAGGTTTCTATCAGACTCGATGAATTAATTAAATATAATTATCAAATCCTCCTAATAATTATATATATATATATATATATATATATATATATATATATATATATATATATATATATATAGAGAGAGAGAGAGAATCTACAATGAGGGGTGGGAGGTTAAATAAGAGTATAAAAGCGTGACATGTAACAAAAGCGGCATAAGATAAGTGGTTAGTAGGAATGAAATGCCTGGGCAGAAGAAAAAAAAAAGTATTTGTTCTGGAATTGCTTGGATACACCAGCCTATAAATCCTCCCGCGCAACCCGGATCCAAGTCAGTTATCTCTGGCTACCAAAATTCGAGGAATAGATCCTTAGTATTTCGTGATGATGTAGGGGGAGATCTGTTTTCGTTTTTGTTTTTTTGTCGAACGAGGAAAAGTCGATGGCGCCAAAGGAGGTCAGAATTGAATTTTCTAGTGAACGGCTCAGCGTCGATAAATATGTTAACCTTGAGGGCAAGAAAAGAAAGACTGAACATAGATTAAAAAGGGAAATGTAGATAGATAAAAAAAGAAATAGATAGATAGATGAGATAGATAAAAGGAAAGAGAGAGAGAGAGAGAGAAGGAAAAGAGAAAGGAAAAGGAAAAAAGTGAGAGAAAAGGAAAAAGTGAGAGAAAAGGAAAAAGTGAGAAAAAGGAAAAGAGCGGGAGAAATGAAAAAAAGCGGGAGAATAGTAAAAAGGGAAGGAAATGGAAAAAGAGATAGATAGAGAGAGACAGAGAGAGAGAGAGAGAGAAGAAAAAGAGAAAAGAAAAGGGAAAAAGTGAGAGAAAAAGAAAAAGTGAGAAAAAAGAAAAAAGCGAGAGAAATGAAAAAAAGCGGGAGAATGGAAAAAAGCGGGAGAAATGGAAAAAGCGGGAGAATATTAAAAAGGGAAGGAAATGGAAAGAGAGAGAGAGAGAGTGCGTGTGCAAGAGAGATGAAAGAAAAGAAGCGTGATAACTGAAAAAAGCGGGAGAAAGGAAGAAAAGCAGAAGAAATGGAAAAAAGCGGGAGAAATGGAAAAAAGCGGGAGAAAGGAAGAAAAGAATGTTATAAAAAGGCTGGACATCTTGCCTTTTGTCTCCATGGTATTAAGAAGTTCTTTGATAATTTTTTAAAACCTTCCGCCCAATACAAAGATCCAGAGTCACTCATAGCAGTTCTTGGAAAAAAATCCGTGTGGAAATTTTTTTCTCACATTTGGAACAAGAAGGAAATGAGCGAGATACAGCTCCATGGAGGCGGCAAGACGTATCCAAAATATAACGCTCTAAACAGTAGAAACTAAAGAATTGAGTTCAGATTAACACTTTCCAGACAGTTCACCAATCGTAATGGACGGATGTTTTCTCAAAGAGGTTCTCTGCCTTGTTTAATTATTGGAACTTACTAAAACCAGATTTTTTTACACTAAAGTTTACCCTTTACAAGGCCCGGGGGCCCACTTGAGGTAGCGGGTTACGTCAGTACACAATAAGTGTTCAGTCAAAAATCCTCTTGACAGTCGGTTCCCCAGAGCAGTGCTTCGCGGGAAGAAGCCGTTCGAGAGGAACTTACTTCAAGTGGAACTTATTCATATGATCCATCTCTAAAGATCCTGGGAAAATGGTCTGTACTAGATAGATAGATATATAGATAAAAAATAGAGTATAATAATATAGAATAAAAAATAGTGTTCGGGAAAACTTTGCTTGGGAGTCAGTTCCACAGGGCAGTGTATAGTGGGAAGAAGCTGTTCAAGAGAAACTTACTTTAAGTGGTACTTGTTCATACGATCCATCTCAGAAGATACTGGGAAAATGGTCGATAATAGATAGATAAAAAATAGATAGGTATATAGATAAAAGAGAGGTAAATAGATAGATAATAAAGAGATATTTATCTAAAAAGAGATAGATAGATAGATAGATAGATAGAAAAGAGATAAAAAGATTATAACACGATCGGGCCAAATCGATCATGGGCCCTTCCCGTGCTGGTCAGTACTGAGGCCAGTCAGTCGATGGTTATCTGCTGGCCGTTTCGGCCCATCATCATCCCTGCCTCATGTTGTGTTTCTTGATTACAGAGCAGTGAAGACCGAATTTCGTCCGTACGTGAACGCTGAAACGAGAGGCGGCGGAACTGTGTTACAAAAGGACAAAGGAGGCTTCCGCTGGTGAATATACAAATATTATAACAATATAACGAAAAAGGTCACTGGGTCAATTTTCAGTTGGTTTATATAGTGTTTTTATACAACAAACTTAACCCTTCCCATTAAACACTTTTTCGCGACACTTTGTCTCTTCCTTCTAAATCTTGGAGCGGAATTCTCTTAGCTGCAAGTCACGTGGGGTTCGGTAGCTCCCTCGTTCGCTTATGACTCGTCTCGTTTCTCGTTCCAACTGCTGGCTTCAACTAAGCGTTCTGTTTATATGTGTTTCTCTCGAATCCGACCGCACCTCAGGACTCATCAATATTCATACCAATTAATTATTTTCTACAATGCCGACTCTCAAACAAAGCGGTCACTTATTCAAAACAATACATTATCCGACAGTAATAATTTTTCTGATAACGAACTTTGTGTTCAAAAATTATTTCTATTTTTCTGATATCAAATAATTTCAACATTCATTATTCCCCAGGACATATTTTAGTCTGTTCACGTCATCAGGCTCGCGATTTATAATAACTCATTTCATTTTTCGACCGAGAATTAATATTAACATGAATTAATTGCTTTTTCCAATTATGGAGAAAAGGCACTGACCCTCAAACAAAGCGCTCAGTTATTCAAAACAATACATTCTCCGAAACAATATTTCCGACAACAAACTTTTGTGCTTAAAAATTGTTTCTATTTTTCTCATGTTAAAGAATTTTCTGACTCCCCATTCCTCAGGACATATTTTAAAATGCTTACATTCCGGTTTTGAGGATTCATAACAATTCTATTTGCTCGCCAGCTTATGAGAAAAAAAATCTCTATTTTCCATTGCTCCATATTTCAATTCATGTTTTCACATTGACGATTTTATCGTTTTCTCCAATTCCCATACGGAGTTTTCACATGAACTGTTTTCATCCTAATTCCACACTGCCAGTATCATAAATATATGCAAAGAGATAGATAGATAATGAAGAGATACATGATAGATAATAAAGAGATATATAAAAATCAGAGAGACAGATGAGGTAGAGTATATATATATATATATATATATATATATTGAAGGTAATAAATGCGTTCGTACATAATCTAAGTGGATCCTAGTAATATAAAATATTAAATCTGATCTACAAAAAGAGATCAATGTATTTATTATTACAGAGAAAATAAAATCCATAATTAACTGATATGGGAAATACAGCTATTCAACACCGGTATATATATATATATATATATATATATATATATATATATATATACCCAAGTATATAATTGGTATATACAGAATGAATTCCAATAACCAACAATTACTATTCTTAAAAGAGTGCTCAATACAAAGTAGAGCAAATATAATTATTTTTTATAAAAAAAAAAAATTATAACATAAGTATGTTATAAAATCACTACAAAAATAGCCATTTTGTTTCAACACACTCTGTGTCTTATCAAGTGATGATGTTGAAAATAAAATAAATGGTTTTAAAAGTTTCAGATTAATTAACGATCCTACACTAGGGGGAAACATTGTTACAAAAGCTAGAATAACCAATCAAAAACGAAGTATAGAAAGATTCAAAAGCTTGACAACGAAATCATGTTATAATATCTATTCAGATCTTTAAATACGTGTAATATTATAAATAATTTATACTAACCAATAATTATAAAATTATGTGATAAAATTTAATATTAAAATTAAAAATTGGCAATGTCTAATTATGACTGGGTGCTTATGTATTATAATCTGATTGTGTTTTTGTTGTTTTGTGCATGAGTTTAAGACCAAATTCACACATTTTAAAATAAAAAAGGAAAAGAAAGAAATATATATACATGTATTGTCAAATGACCGGATATATTGTAGCGTCTTGTCGAACGTAATTTCAATGAAGAAATGAATTGAATAAACATATATATTTTTTCCTTTTCTCAATAATTTTGTAGTTTTTAAACTTAATAGTGATTAAACTTGGATTTTAAAATTGCCAGTTTTTAATAATAATTTTATATATATATATATATATATATATATATATGTGTGTGTATATATACCGTGGTTGAGTAAGACTGACGAATTTTTCGTCCGTTGAAATAGGTCTACACCTCATATGACGTAATGTTGGATTTTATTGTGCGTTACTATATATATATATATATATGAACTGCTGATATAGTTAAGAGATACAGAGGGAAGATAATAAGAGTGAAATTGTTTTCATTTTTAGTTTTTGCTTATTTTGTCGAGGAAATAGTTGCTAGTGATGTTGTTTCGAGTAGTGAGCGCCTGTCAAACACAAATACAATGTCATAGTCTGAATATTTTCTTACCCAATGTTTGTAGCAAGGCGTCCTCCACTTTAAATTGAAAAAGATCAGACATCGAACGCCCTTCAGTAGCAGTGAACAAGCGCCGTATCTTTGTTATCGATTAATGTTCACTTTGTTCCCTACCTGAATACTGGCAATGTTCTAGAGAGACTAACTTGTTAAAAACAAGAGAATGTCGTCATACCGATCGCATGGATTGGACAATAACACAAACAGTAGAAGTAAATCTGTCGAAATAATAGAGAAAAGAAACTATAGTTTAGAAATAAGGAGTGGTAGTTCGTCTGAAAATTCTCCATAGAAATAGTGATAGAGAAGCAAGAGGCTTGCAGCGTCTTGTCTGTGAGAAAAAGATTGCAGAGTGGAAAGGAATTCGTCGCTTTTTTTAACTCTATCGAGAGAGCACGGTTTATGCGGGTATGTGTGGAAGATAACGGTTAACACTAGACTTGAACAGGTTAAGATTGTAGTGATCGGGGAAGCAACCTCTTGGGAGTCGATTCCATAAAAGCAGGTAGAGTGTTGCAGTTTAAGGAGCTGACTTTATGCGGTTATATGGAGAAGATAACGGTCAACCCTAGATTTGAACAGGTTAAGATTGTAGTGATCGGGGAAGCAACCTCTTGGGAGTCGATTCCATAAAAGCAGGTAGAGTGTTGCAGATTAAGAGGAAAGGTTTATGCGGTTATGTGTGGAAGATAACGGATAATGCTAGACTTGAACAGGTTAAGATTGTAATGATCGAGGAAGTATCCTCTTGGGAGCCGAATCCACAAAGCAGGTAGAGGGTTACAGATTTAGGGGCACGGTTTATGCTGTTATGTGGAGAAAACGATTAATCCTAGATTTGAACAGGTTAAGATTTTAGTGATCGGGGAAGTATCCCCTTGGGAGTCGATTACACAAATCAGATAGAGGGTTACAGAGTAAGAGGCACGGTTTATGCGTTTATGTGTGGAAGATAACTGTTAAACTTAGAGATAGATGAGATAGAGTGTGATAGCTGAAGGAGTGAAGTACTTGCAGGAGCGGTACAAGGTGTGGCCAAATTTAAATGTATTATATTACAGGAGGGGGGGGAAGAAGATAAAATGAAGCCTTTTTTGATGTCCAAATTAGTTAACGCGTAGAATTTAAATTGTTCCCCTCCTCATTGATCCTTCGTTTTGATAGCGAAGTGCAGATACCATTTCTTTGCAAGGAAGGTCACCGTAGAGTAACCTACATCCTCAATGTTTAAAAAAAAGAAGTCTTTTAATATGAAAGTCTATCAGGAGGTTCAAACTTGCGACCATATTTAGTGTAAACTGACGGGTTGGTGCCATTGGTAATCGTTTTTTCAATTTCAGTTATTTGGGGTTAGTGTTGATCCCATGACAATTCTGCTGGACTCGGTTTGTCTGAGTAACTGACATCCAAAACAAATCTTGATTGACGCTGCTATGTATTGGAAGTTTGTGGATTGGTAACTTTTGTTGATGAACGATGTTCAGTCCTTCTGAGGTGAAAGGTATTTCGTCATTGAATTTCACTGTCTGTTTTACAGACCTTGGTGAAGCAGGTTTTATGACAAAGTTTTTGGTTGTTTTTACTGGATGTATAATATTTTCTTTGTGAAAATGCTGTAGTGTAACTCTTCCTGGAATTTTTTTTTCTTTATAGGAATTGGCAAGCGCCAAGAAGTTGTTATAGACATTGGTTGTGTAGATTCCTTTCATACGCAATAAAACATTCTCCAATGAGGAAGCGGCAATCGAAGCATTTGAACTGTTTATCATACCATAGTATGAGTTTTTTTTTAGAGATGGGATCAAGAATTTCGAGATACGTTGGAGAACAGTTATTCATCAACATGGTGCCTATTTCAAAGAAATAAATTAGTTATTTAACATTTCAGGATTTATTCATTTGCTGTAATGTGCGTAATTTCATGGTTGACAAACCAATACTAAGCGCAGCGTAATTTAAGTGTATTAAATTACGGGGGTGGGGAAGATGATGTCTTTGACTATTTTGATGTCCAAACTAGTTAACGCGTAGAATTTAAAATTGTTCCCTCGCCTCATGGATGCTCCGTTTTTGTGTTATTTTGCGTTCTTGTAGTGATTGGGAAAGCATCCCCTTGGGAGAGATTCCACAATGCAGGTAGAGCGTTACAGATCAAGTGGTACGGTTTATGCGTTTATGTGTGGAAGATAACTGTTAATCCTAGAGATAGATGAGATAGAGTGTGATAGCAGAAGGAGTGAGGTACTTGCAAGAGCGGTACAAGGTGTGGCCTAATTTAGGTGTATTATATTACAGGAAGGGGTGGGGGAGATAAGATGAAGTCTTTGTTTTAACGTCCAAACTAGTTAACGCGTAGAATTTAAAATTGTTCCCATCCTCATTGATGCTCCGTTTTTATACCCAAAGGCAGATATCATTTTTTTGACAAGGGGGATAACCGTGGATTATTTCACATCATCCATTTTCTTT